CTCTCCTTAATCCATTTAGCCTGTGGAGCATCTCCTCTTTGGCCTTTTCCGTGGGCTTTGGCTCCCTCTTTTGGCTCCTTTCGGTTAGTTCATCCATGGCTCTTTCAAATTAAACTTAAAGGGGACCTATCATGCAAAATGCACTCTTGTACATCTTTTATACAGGAATATGTGTCCCTGGTGTGTCAGGGAACTCACCAAGTGTCAGAAAATACAACAATGGAAAGACCTTTGCTCTGTGCTTCCTTCTCCAATGCCGTCAATTTCACATGGCTGGTTCAAATAAATGATATAATAGCACTAACAACAAAGGATTATAATAATAAAATATATCAAACTATACATTTTAACATATGGCTCCTACACAAAGGTTTAAATGATTTTACAAAATGAATCCCAGAAGACCACAGATTATATACATTTGAATATAACCCAAAGCCTAATGAAAATGGAAAACTGTAGTATACAAGCAAACATGTTATTTTTCTCGGACAAACATAAAATAAACCTTTATCCTGATTTGAAACAGTTAGGAACAGGTCAAATCAGACCCGAGCAGAACATTATTATTTATGATATTAACATAATAAATATGTTGATGTTTTGAATACCATAATACATAAACAAAACAATGAATTGCAGTTAATGATGAAAATGAATAATTGAGAGGGTTTGACGGACTGGATCCTTTTACTCACCCTTAATATCAGGTGCTTCAACTCATCATCTGACAGGAAGGAGGGCTTGTAGTTGGCCTCTGTGTACGGGTTGGCTACTCCTGCATAGCAGGAAACACACAGGTCACACCTTTATTCATTATTTTACACACTTTTCCCATTTTCTTGGAACAAGTTCTCCTTCCAGTCCTTAATTTTCTTAAATGCTCAAAGACGCCCTTTCCAGTGACAAAGTGTCATTCAAAAGAAGCACAGAGTTGTATTATTATATATTGCCTCCTAACAAGCCTGTCCTGCTCAATTAATGATACAAAAAATGTTTTATATATATATAAGTAACATTGTGTAGTACAATTACAAATGTTTGGTACATTATAGAGTTATGTGCATTCAAACATTTTTCTTACTTTACAATTTATGTATTTACAATCTGTTATTGTTACTGGCTCCTTCAATACATTCACTTACATTTTTTCAGGATTCTTTTTTTATTTCCATGGTGAGCACATTTGTTTAATATTTTGTTCATAAAGTGTGCTTTCCTTTATCTAAGATGAAACGGATATAGACGTGTGCCTTGTATTTGCGCTGTGTTTCTGCTGCTATAATGCCTCCCTTTCAAACTCATGCACTTCTGATCACTCTACTGTGAAATGTTCCCCTTTATTCCCCTTCATTACACTCAGCTGTGCCACAGAGCCTCACATATCAATGACTTGTACTTCTTACTGACACTTGCTGTGCCTCCTGTGAGAGGTAACTGTATGGACTGTTTTCAGGCAGAATGTCTGTGCAGATGTTTTAGCTTGCACAAACCTGTTCTTTTTTTCAGCAGATTAAAGATAGGTTAAGCTACAAAAAATGTTGTTACAGCAGCATGTTATAACAAAGGCATTGCACATCATTTGAAAAAAAACAAAACAGAATAGAAACATCTCAAAATAGAAAATAAAACAGAACTATAAAAAGCCAAATATATACAAGTTGACTGTAAAAGATAAACATCTGTCTGACAAATAAACACCATTAAGGGCCAAACTACACCTAACAAAATGTTAAAGTAGGATATGATGTACTTTATAGTAAGTGTGCATGGAATAGTATATCAACTAAATATTAATGTAAAATGTACAGTGTGAAGAAGGTCCAGTTAGAAGTTGTATGTCCAGTACAGAGAAGAGAAACAATGGAGCAGTGAGCTCTCTGCCAGCAGAGGTGGTCTGCTGTACAGACTTGTGTCGATAGAGTGTGTTTCAGGATCTGCTAACCTCTGAGGGTCTTCATGTGCTGGACGGCCATGCGCAGCACCGTCAGCTTGTCCAGTTTGCGGGACATGGCGTTGCAGGTGGGCACCAGAGAGGCCAGCTCGTCAATGAAGCTGTTCATTTTGTCCCTGCGCCGCTTCTCGATCTGACTGTGAGCCTCTCTGTGGGGAGAAGCAGAGAGGGTTACAACACACATTTCATCTGACTGCCATGAATGCAAAGAAAATACACTTTGGTTGATTTCACCTTCACTATGTGAGACAGGATCCTTAAAGTGCACAGCTCCCTGTCTAATCTAACATGATATATGAAATGCAGCTCAGAACGGACCGTCCTCTACAGATGAAATGTCTCTGTTGAGTGTGTCTTCCAGGACTGAACACATCTCTCTGGTCTGTCAAATGGTTCTGTAGCTGCTAATAAAAGGGACTTCTCTCCACAGAGGGGGCTTGTCATTAGCCGCTCGGTATGCTCTTACACCCCCTCAGCCCCACATTATGCTCAGATCTATACATTTCAATGTATAACATTTCTTATTATCACCGTGCACAAAGCTCCCTCTGTTCCAATCGTACAGAGGGACATTTAATTCATGTAAGAAAGATTAGAAGGCAGGGGGAGTGAGGGGGGGGTTTGTACCTGGCATTCTTAATCCGGCCCTGTTGGTCACTGCAAAGACAGACAGAGAATATTTAGGGAGAACATTTGAGAAAAATGAAGGTCAAAGCTTGAGATTGAAATGAATGAGGGAGGAGGTATTTGAAATACACAGGAATGATGAACAGAGGGGATGAGAATTCAATATTGTATTCTTATGATTGCTCTGCTTCCAGGGTTGCAATCACGAAAACACATTTTCCTTTAGCTTGAGTAATATCTAGTGGTTTGCCAAGGCTTCTGCTAACAAACCATTCCAATGATGTGAGTTGAACGTCACTGGGCCTCAAGAACAAGTTTAATTACACGCGTGTCCCAAGTCTCACTGAGCAAATCCTCCCACATAAAAATGTTAACTTGATGAGGGATGGTTGTACTTGCCTAGAGGTTACTGTCGCTGGACAGACTGTAACTGTTTAGCTTGATAAGGGCAGATTGAATTTCAAGGCAAATTCGAGCTGCTTTAGTTTCAAATTCAGGACCTTTAAATTGTGTGAGTGTCTGAGATTAGATCCTTGGAAAGAAAGGCCCACTCTGTTACAGTGCAGAGCGCTAAGTCCTTGGACTTAGAAATCAGAAGACCTAAACTGTTTAGCAGGGACAGGATATGGAACTACAGATGTCAACATTGGGTCATTCTCATAAATCAAGACATAGTTGAATATGTAGTTATTGATTTCAGTCTTTAAATAGACAAATGAAAGCAGGTCCAATGAAAGCTGCTGACAGTGAGCTCTTCAGTCATTTTGACCAAGTTTCTTAAAAGGGAACATTATATTCTGTATTCTCTCCTGTAAAACAATTACTTTAAAAAAAAGTGTCATTCTTTCAATGCTGTGAGCACCCTTAACCAAAACTATCATTGTATCGGTGTGCCATCAGACATCTTAAGAGTCAGTCAAAAAATCAAAGCAAAATCACCCGCTTGCATACATATCACTGGAGGTAGGTATATTTGTTTGGATGTGATTTGGGTGAACCAACCCTTAAAGTTGGGGTTAACTGATTCAAAGCAGAAACTAGATCATTTCAGCAGCAGACGAAGTAAATACAGCAATACTGATGATTAAAGTTCCCTCTTCATCATCACAGTCATGGTGGCTGCTTACCCTCCCAGTTTATCTTTGTCTGGGTCCATGTCACTGAAGAAGAAAGACAGGAGATTACATTTCAATAAGAACATCACAGACCTTTAGAAGAACCACAGAACTTCAGTTTCATGCATACAGGCTAGCTGGGATTAGCACGTTTGTTCTTCAGTTGATTAAAAATGTCATATTGCAAAATCAACAGTGGGTCCTATATATTTCAGATCTTGATAAATGAAACTGTGCTACTATTATTCAAATGGAGTCATGTTTGAACTTACTCAAATGAGAAGCCATCAATTCTGAAAGGAAAAACACATGTATGAATCAGTGTGCATCTTCGAGGTATTGTGATCTTTTTACAATGTGTAAACAAAGAACTGATTGACATTGTTTAATAGTACACATCATTTTATTTATTTATATTTATTGACTTTTCCTTCTCTCCTCCCTGCCTTTTTTCATTTTTGCCATTCATGTTTTTTTTTGTTTTTATACTTACTTTACGTTTTTGATATTTGTAATAATAATAATGTGTGCCTACTTTCTTATTCCTTTAATATGTTTTCAATATGCAAGTCTTTTCCCTTCACTTCATCTGCACTACACCTCTGCTGTTGTGATTATGTAAATGTCCCTGATTCATCATCTTTTCTTATTTCCTCTGTGCTTCCTTCTCTCCTCCTGGGGGACTCACTGGTAATCCGTGGTGCTGCCCTTCCTCTTGCGGGTGTAGTCCATGCCGGGCGTGCTGATGGAGCTGGTGATGATGTCGGTGGAGCCGGGCGACATGAAATCAGTCATTGTAGACGAGATGTCCATCCTTTGGTCTGCCATCAGGTCATCTGCAGAGAGAACACAAAAATTTGGATTATTCAGCCTGACCTCTCTTACTCTATGGAGTTCATTAGAAATGTTTGGGGTACCTGGGTTTTGTAATAACTGATCATTGTAATCTTATGTTTCCGGGGAAAACATTTCGATGGAATGAAAGACAGAGTTATGTGTGATATTGTTTGCAAAATATGCTCTTTAAATGTGGTTTAAATGGCCCCGAAACATTCATTGTAGGGGTCGACCGATTATCGAGGCCGATATTCCGCATTTTACAGATTATCGGCCTTTTTTTAAAAATCAAATTGCCGATAAAACTTTGGCTCTGATGCGGCCGTTTCTCAGGCAGCAGTCACCACTGTCTGTTCACGAGCAATGTCCCGCCCACAGCGCTATCTGATAGGCTATTACTGAAGTGTCAATCAACACTGAAGATTTTCCAGGCTGCAGCCAGCCAGAGAGGGCGGGACCTTCTCAGAATACAGGCAGGTGCGAAGAACACAGACAGAGGCAAGCAGCAGCAGCAGCAGTGGCGGTTCTACAGGGTGGCACGGGGTGGCAGCTGCCACCTCAGAAAAATGCCTTGCCACCCCAGCTGCCACCCCAGTTGGCAGCTTTGTTTTGAAAGAAAAGTTGTGGCTCATCGGGCATTTATGAGAGAAAATCTCTAATGTCCGAGTGCAAGTGAATGCAGCACAAGACGCGCCTTGTAACCCCTCCCCCGGCCCTGGCGCGAGCCTGGAAATATGATTGGCGGCGATTTCCTTTGAACGGGGGGACAGCGCAAAACGAGAAGCATTTCGGATCCAAGTAGACGGAAGGAATGAGGTATTTGCGGTCTGGAACGACAGAGAAGAAACTGTCAAGTTTGGCTATAACGCAAGGCAAGGCAAGTTTATTTATATAGCACTTTTCTGTACGCAACAATTCAAAGTGCTTTACAAAACAAATTAAAATACTTTTTAGGAATACATACAGTAAAAACACATATATAAGGGCATTTTACAACAGGCATTACAAAGCAAATATAATAAAATAATTAAAATAAACACCACAGGCATACAATACATGTTTAAAAGGCATACTGTAGTGCGAATATGAGCAGCTCAATTAAAAGCAGCGGCAAAGAGATATGTTTTTAGTCTCGATTTAAAAATAGTAAGCGTTTCTGCGGACGTGCATGATTTGG